ATATATTAACCGTAGTAATCCTTCTTCCATTGTAATCATTATACAAATGTATATATACTGCTATTATACTTAAAAGTATTCTTTACAAGGTACAAACGCCGCGGTGGTATAAGGACAATCAAACGTATGGATGACATGTGTATCTGTTAGTTTGTTTGTAGTATGATACAATACTATCTGTACGGTTATGCAACATGTATCTATTCTCCTTTTTCTCTATTTACTTGTATGTATATATATATATATATATATATGTGTGTGTTTTGTATTTGACTCTCGCAGTGGTGTGTATATTATATGCGGTAGAAATTAGCGTTTTTGCCAGCTCCATTGCTTCCTGTATCAGGTGTATACAAACGAGATTTGCAGATAACGTCTAGTTGTGTCCAAAAAAAACTTTAGATAGCCCGATCCTTTTGGATTGGATAGTTTGATTCCATTTATAATAATGTTTTAGCTAAGTCTATTTCATATAGTCGTCATGGTTTGATTATTTGACTACATAATTGACGATTGGTATTAAATGTACGGTCGTGCAGCAGAAGGCAAAACTGGTGGCAACAAACCTGATTATCGTACAACATTGTCAGCATAATTTTTTAGCGTCGTATTTACCTTTCCTTGAAAAGCCGTCTTGCGTTTTCGAACGGATTGATACGAGCTCCAACAGACAAAAGTCAGGTCTTGTCCTATTTAGCATTCTGAATGCTAGCTAAAAGGCGTCCAGCGAAACAACACTCATAATTTAAGCATAACTGTTTTCTTTCATTTATAAATATATGTATCCATCATGGTATGCCAGCATAACGTCAACACAAAAGCCTTGATTCAGAACGAAAATCGATGAGCAGAAGTGTAGGAGGAGAAGAAGAATAATAGGTTCGGTGCAATAACACATTTCCATTATAACACATTCAGCATTGGTCGAGCTCTGGTGCAGCATCCAAGCCGACTCGTGAGTGGACCAGCGGGAATTATTACCATAGCACTTTTCCTTTAAGTTATCCTATTTTATTATAAATATGAGATAACTAGGTCCATAGATAGTGGTAAGGATGAAGATAGACGTAACGATGATACAATGACAGCAAAAGATATCCTAAATTATTTGTTACCTGCCCAATTGGTCACTTCATATTTACAAGTGCGTCTTGCTTTTTGGTATGGCTGGGGAGCCATTTCTTTGTGTCATAGTATCGCAGGATAGCAATTATGTTATATGTATATATATATATATATATATATATATATATATATATATAGTGCAAAAAAAACAGCGGAAGTCATACAGCACTTTTGTAGTTATCGTGAACGCCCTGATTGCTGATGTATCAATCGAATTTCAGACGAAATTCAAGCGCTTCGAAACGTGTATAAAACCTCCCAAACCCGCAGATCTTTAGCTCGTAATTTATTTTCTAATATGACATTATAATAAATAAATAAATTTATTGAGGAACACAACTTCTTGTGCCACTTACTATATTTGATCGAGTACTGACTACGTGGCTCTGTTTCTCAATTGCTCTCCTTTTTTTTTTTTTTCGATTTTTCATGTTTCGCTGTACCCGGCTTCTTTATTTACATCTACGCACCTGATCTCTTCGGGTTTGTTTATAAACCTGAGGCAGTGAGCGCACAAGTGCCTGCGAACGTGTTCTTCTGTCCGTTTAGAATAGAGGTGTACGGCGAACTTCTCATCTGCGATAACAAAGCCATTGAGATTTCGTGTTCATTCGCAAATAAACGTAACGAGCTTCGTCACGAAATAAAGTGACGTCAGCTACGTCTGAGCTACAATAGCGTTACGCTAAGATAGGAATAAGAATGGTATTGATAACTGTCACATCAACTGTAAAGGACGTATCTTAGTTGGTATTTATCACGCTACACCGACGCATATCTTTCACTCCCACAGACATTTTTGCTATTATTAAGATACCGATGAAATCGGCTCAAAGGTGACTACTGATTGAGATTAGCACAATTGACGACAATGACCTATCGCATCTCGACATATCTTTATACCAGCAGAAATTAGGGAAATTGCCCCCTTTTACTAATATGCCACACGGGGAGATAGAACCGTATAGCTTTATCTAACAAACACTTTGGGCGAAAATCAGTTGCACTGCCACAAGGTTATCTTTTTGACAATCATTAAGATAACTATTCGTTTATCATATACGCAAATACTCAATAGTAATCCTTAGGAAGTAGAAATTTTATTGACTTAGCGCCGATGATTTGACTGCATCTTATGGCCTTCCAGCGTAGCGACCACAGTGATAACGGCAAGTCATAGAGAGAAAAACCTGTAGCGGAACCTGTTTTGCTGCCCAGTCTAGCAATCAAAAAAGCAATCCGATGTGTGTCGAAACTATAATATACTTTGTCACAGAGTTCGTGATTTAACCACTTTAACAGTAATAATAACAATTAAAATAACACTAAAAATAATACTTACTATAGGAAACTGAGTAGTGCGATCATTTGGTCATATCCAGAAGACGCAACAAATGTCGCTAATATATGTCGAGTTTCTCGGTGCGCGATCGATCGCAGACAGCTCATCGCTGGTGGACTGATTTTAACTATAGTGCTTTTGGTTTTTCGGATACTAACCATAATATATAATAACTGTCATGTAGGCAAGCATATACGGAACATGTGTTGTATTTGCTCACTACCTTATATATACATACATATTTACGTACACATATATTCAATAGTAATAATAGAACGGACCGTATTTGTTTTCCCGGTCGCTTATGTCGCCCATACGCAAAACACATTATCAGCGCGTATATATATATGGTCCTTCTATATGCATGAATGAGAGGCATGTAATGTCATAACAATATCATGTTAGAAGTACTTATTATTTTATAAATGCACGTGATGAAACGAATTGGCCCCTTTGATCCAGCCTATAAACTACGATGACTTTGGGACAAGCGGCACCACCATTTTGTCATCATTTCCTCGTACTGCATTTACTTTCTTCGGCTGTTATCTTTGATCTCTCCTTGCCGCGCTCGTAGTCAACACGTAAAGTAAACCATGCGAATACAGAGGGGAGACGTCATAAGCGTACGGCACGGCATGACAGTAAAGGTAGGGCATGCTTGTTATATCTATGATTTGTTCTGCGAAACAAACACGTGTGCAAAGGGAACTCTAAGAGCTAGAACGTGGAGATGATGAACCTTGTCACCATTACTGCAGGACCACTGCCGCAAAAGATAGCAGAGTCCCTTGAATTCCTGTAGACGCCACACGGCTAAGAGTGGCTGGCTATCACATGATTTGCTCCTCAGATAACAGCTGGCTAACAGTTGCCCGAGTGCTGATTTCTATCTTGATCATGGTGTTCGGCTTAAGCTAGTAGAAAGGGTTGCTTTTTCGCGCACTAACAGAACCCTAACAGTGGAGGAGTATAGCAGTTCTGATTTGTTCTACTATCCTTTTTCTCAGAATTAGCTTGTCTGACGATTCTAAATATCAAATATGTGTCTATTGCGATCTCTTGTATATATATTAATTGGGCTATATTCAAGAAGCAGACCGTAAATAAACAGAAGCGCAGGCATTTTTGTACTAAACACGTGTTCAAGTATTGCCTTCTAAAACCTTTTCTGGAAAGCAGGCCATAAAAGAGCACAGAAGTATGCCTTATGCAAATCGTGTATGGTTTGGTGAGACATCAACACCGTTAATTTATACTCAAGTATGATGGCCAACCTTTGTTGTTTTTGCATCAGTTGACGACATTTTAACCTAGAAATTATAAGATGGACAAGATCCTTACTGGACGATGATGACGTGAGAACTATGGCTATTTATCTCCAAATATATTTAACTGCTTCCTAGTATGCACTGGTTCTGCTTGCCAAGGTTGCTTTAATTAGCGTTAGTAAAACACCTAGACCCGCCAGCGCACAGGGCAAACATACTTGTTATATATGACCTCATCAAGGCATAGGTTAGCCCCGTAACGTGGGAGAGCGATAAAATATTTCTCTTCATTGTCATTGCTTAGATCTCACAGCTATTTAGCTTGTTCACTCTGTAACGGCTTGTACGTGACCCTTACAGAATAAAGTTCACTAGATTCCCATATTTTTCTTCTAGGTAAGTGTCTTCTTGCGTTAAAATATCGTCTCGTTATTTTTATACGCTATTGTCATTTCCGTATAGCTACTAGGCAACGTGTGAATACCGCGTGTTGTGCGAAAACCCGTACTATATTGCGAATTTGATCCTGACGCATCTAAGAAGGACATCACTGCCAAGCCCTTTTCATGAGCCTACCCACTCCAGCCGCACTGGCCACTAAATCAATCAACTGTGCAACGTTATATCGTGTGGTCAGTGAAGATGAGGGGGCATAGATCTCAACGAAAGTAGCCGTGCGAACGCGGGACGAGATTGTCGTTTGCTCAGAGCTTGGTAATCTCAATGCCCCCGTTACTTTCCTGAAGGTTCCTGCTTTGGTCAAATGAGTCCCTGTCCTCTTGATCCGGTGATTTCTCATCGAGCGATGGCGTCTTATCAACGAGACGGAATGCTTCAAGAAACTCGTTGAAGTCGATAAATCCATCTTTGTTGATGTCGATTGATTTGGCCAGCTGCTCGATGTGCTCTCTGCTCATTGGTTGTTCGGCATGTTGGCCTAAAAGATCACACGCATCCTGAAATTCTTGCATCGATATCAACCCTGAAATTACAAGCAGTGCCTGATTTACTTTTAAGGTACAAGCGCGACTACCGTAAATCAAATCAAGATACTTAATAGCCAACATGCAAATAATACGACAGAAACAATACCAAAATATACATGGCAGCGAAACATATAGGAATAAAATAAACGTTTCGTAAACTTTTCCGACTCAGTTAACCGGCTCAGTAATCTAGCTAGTGGATCGCTTAGTTAAGAACACTTATGCATCTTTTCCCTTGCAAATGAAGATGCAAACAAAATAACTACGCCCCGATAGGATATAAGCGTAGATTCCGCAAGTTGTTTTATTATTCTATGCTGCAACGCCATTTGCTGGGATGTACCAGCCAGCAACAGAAACACTTTGCTCTTCAAGCATATTTCAAAACATAATTTTATACATACAATTTTGTTCTTGACAACATAATTATGTACAAATAAAAATCGAGAAAATAGTAATACATATTATAATGAGGTGTATGTTGTTACGTGTTCACGACCGACATAGGGACATACCGGAGCCATCTTTATCCATTATACGGAAGATTGTTTCTAGCGCTTCTTTGTTTCTATAGAGACTCTCAAGGAAAGTAGGTCCACCCTGAGCAAGTGCGTTTGTTAGGTAGTACTCGTCGAACGTGCTTTCGTAATGAACCAGGCCCTGAATAGGATCCACCTGCGCTATCTTAGGGCATAACAGGCGCCATGTAACCTTTAGACCAACTGTTCGTTCCATGATATCGCACCAGTCGCTAACTTTCACCGTTCCTGAAACAGGAAGAATCCAGTCTGTGATATTTATAGGCTGGAACATCAGTTCTATTTACATAAGGCTGATACATGCTATTACGATTGCAATTTAGGTAAGCATTATTTACATGCTCGTGCCTGGTATTGATATGTGTATAGACTCAGTTATCTTTTGCACAAATTTAGAACTAACCATACACAGTACATGGATCTATATGAAATTACTGCAACCGATAACCGGTGAAAAATTCTGTAAACCTCTCGACAGCCGATGCTACAGTATTCGTTTCTATTACTTGTAGTAATTCAGGATGGAACTGAAGTCTCAACTTAACTATGTGGAAATAGATCAATGTTAAAATCACCAGCACTGAGCAATAACACCTGCTCGTATTAGAAGTAATTGGGTATCGGCCGTTTACAGCTGCTGTCGGCTCAAAGGCATAATCGGCCTTATCGAACTTTCTCATTGATATGAAACGTTCTTATTTTTATCAATCTTCCGAAGTGTCAAAAGTTCTAGAATCGCAAAGATCATCTCATGCGAACTCTATAAACAATCGTGTGTGTGATACGCGTACGCTCATGAAATCTCTTTGTACCTAAAGGTTACATAGAAAGGATACATATTTCTTATTGCAAAATTTTTTTGCTGAAAGATGGGAAGAGTTATGCATAGATAGGCGCCTGTACGTATATTCCCTTGATCATCTATTTTTTTTTTTACAAAAGATCACAGTTGCGCTCAGAGGTAACACGTTAAGATAAACACGGCTTGATTTAATTTTTTCTATCCGTAGCTATGAAACAGAAGACGCGATACTTGTTGAGCAATAAGCTCATTAAGCACAGAGATGTTCATATATCTATCGGAAGCTGAAGCATGCAAAGCTACAGGGGTGGTCTACGATGTTCTAAAAGTAAGCCAGGAATTAGTAAATAGTACAGTTGCCTTCTTGTAAATAATTCCAAAATTATGTCTCCTTTTTATTCATACAATTTTATACTTAAGCTGTATACTCCATTTTAGCACCAGAAAGGCAAACACCTTTTTTTTAACATTGCATATACATGTGTAATATTGTCACTCTATTAATATGATACGCAAACGCTGCATGTTAACATCGTGTTCTAGGTGCATTGCATTTATTACTACTCGACCTATGATGAATCATCAAACCTTTCAACGCATACAAATATGTCGGTATGTGCATGAAAATAGAACTATAGCAGAGATACTGACCTGTCTTATTTGGATCGGTTCGCTGAAACTCTTTTTTAAGTAATGACTGACACGCAAAAATGTGGTGCTTCAATTCCCGCAGTGCACTATGCTCCATTAGTCCACTCCTGTGTCAGACATAAGAGAACACCATTACTCATTTGAAGTTCGACTCAAAGGGGTTCTCCTTCTTCCATTAAAGCTTACCACCAAGTGAGCCACTACCATAAGCCCATGTATAACAAAATGCCAGCTCAATCTTTTGATTCAAAAGAGGCTTAGCTGATGTTAAGCTTTCTATTCATTAAAGAATCGTTGATAGACAAAAAAAACAGAGGGAACACTGACATGTGGGACATTGGAAGGACACATCGGTTAGCAAACACCTATTCCAACTTTAATAACATTTAAATAGAATATAATGCTAGAACGATTAAGCATAAGAAGCACTGTAGCCAAGTTACAATGGCCTAAGCTAATGAGAAATAGCTGGATAGACAAAAAAGCAGCGAAGCCTGCAGCCCTTACAAGAGATGAGTGCAGTTAACGAGCGGCCGCTGCTCACGTAAAAAGATTTCAAACTTATTATCCTACCTCTGTTGAATGGTGGCCTTCCGCGTCTGCGCGGTACTGACAAACATGACGGCATGCGGAACAAGCTTAGGACCACACAATTTCACATATGCGCCCCGGTTACTACCCACATCATAATAGTTCGACGCAGAGAAAATAGTCAACACCTGCCAGTAATAGAAAAAAGATAATCTGTTAGAATTTTTAACTAAAACTTATCGACCTACCTGTTTTAGAAGTGGGTGGATTTTACCTGCAACACTAATAATAGTAATATGTAAAATTTGTGAGGAACGAAGCTGATTTACGATACAATGTAACACTATAAACTCTATCTTGATCCATGATCATCCGAACAATTGTTTGGCGGGTGCATAATTTTCACAATATTATTACTTACTGGATTGCTTAATTTTGAGATACACTGCAATGTAAACTTACTAAGAAGATAATTATACATGCTTCGCTTTCATAATGTAATTGGAAGACTACAGTAACCTGTCTACTGCTTTCATGAGGCAAATTTGAACTGTGTAGCTTTTTAGAATAAGGACAACTACCCGGAACGGGTTGTCTCGTTCCTCTTATCATACTGAAGCTCCTTTGAGACCAAAAAACGGATCTATCAAAGCAACTATACATACGCAGATATAACACTGAAAATAAAGCTAATTTCTATAGGTATGTAAACTAGCTTAATAGGGCTACGCTGTAATGAATAACTATAATATGTATTAGGGTACTTTCGAAATCGAACCCCTTTCATCGTCCAATTCCTGTTTGTCAATTGTGGTTAATGATTGTATATTGGGTGGCTTCACCATTCATGAAAAATAATACCTCGTGCCCTCGACCTATTTGTGGTTGGGTTCAGACCCAGACCTAGAGTTTGTCGTTGTCGCAGTCGCGGCCACATACTTTGTATTCAATAAATGCCCCGCGCCCGAGTGGAAAATTCAGCGGACTCAATCTTACTTGCTCAGGGCAAACACGTCCTTCGCAATCTTGCAAAACGACACAGACACGTGTGCCAATCAGTGCGCGACTAAGACTGTGGCTGCGGCAGTTTTGCTCCTGCTCGTACGACGATAAGCCGCTGACTGACCAGCCAGCCAACTCGGTGAAGACGGAGAACAGACAGCTCACAGCATGCGTGGAATATATAATAAGTTCATATTCAGCATATGAGAAAGCACGGAGTCATTCAGTGATATGGACGTGCCCCTTAGCCAGAAACAACGTTGAACGACTCCGTCTGTAAATACGACTGCTATCAGAATCGCTGATTACTCATTCGATAAAATTAGGCGTGTTTATAAAGTAATATTGTTCATATCCAAGTCACAGAGATAGTTTTTTTAGTTTCTATCCAGATTCGTGTATGCAAACTGCGTTGTCGAAAGATTGTACTAGTGAAAAAAATTATCATTAAAGAGATCATTAATAGAAGAGATTTTTTTCCTCATCGCTCTTGCTTAAGGTTCATGCAAACACTCATCATTCACCTTTAATCTGAGCCTGTTTTCGTCCGGTGTATTCATATATCTTTCTATGTAGGTGTTGGATGTACTAGACCTACTTAGATCGTTCATAATTCGATAAAATACGTGACGATCGTCAATTATTTGTTTCGCACCGACAAATTATATGTATATAAGTAACTACGAATAATAGTAATAACCACAATTGTTATTATTACTGTTATTATTATTACTAGGAATTTTGCGGCTGTGGGCTGTTATATGGGCTGCTAGTATCCATCATGTATCGATTCGTTGAACATTTGGCAATCATAAGGAAAATTTTTAATGAAAAGTGGGAAACAGCATGCATCTAGTTGGTCGACTTAGCGAGTTTTTCAACTGAGCAAAATTACATATGCAGAGAGCATTAAAAATTGGCATTTCGGGTTCATGCCATTTTATTCACAACAAGACTACATGGTTCAATAGGACACCGTTAGGTCCTCGCAAATACGTAACACGACGGTAAAGAGAGAGTTACTGAAGCTTTGCTTCATTCAACCGAACAGAAACAAAGTCACTTTATATCGGCGCTCATGCTAACCAGCCATTAACTGCAACCCATTTAGACAACAGCTAACAAATTATCTACCAGCTGAGCACGGTAACAATACGCATTGTTCTATGGCAACTAGATAATAACGAATTATATTTTTCCTTATCCTGCATACGCTGTAGGCTTATCGTATTACCTTGGTCCTGGTATCTGTATTTGTAACCAGAGACTCTCGACTAAGTCATCACGACAAGCATATTTTTCCTGTGTGTCCCCACATACTTATCATTGTATTACAGACGCCAAGATTGATTTCCCAGGAGTGCCCCGAACGATTTATACTGGAGTAATTTTATTGACTTATTTCGTACATACCATATGTTCGCACGCGCTTGCCCTACAAACCTTTCCGTTATGAGTGAATTCATATCCATCAACTTTGCACTCGTGTGAACGTATAATCAGCTGTAGATCGTACTTCCTGAGGAACGCCTCTGTCACGTCGGGACCGAAGAACGAACCACCTCCACGGAGATTATTAGGTTGACATCCGTTCAGTGTTCGGGGGTCCGACCACAGTAAATCGACCACCTAAAATATACAATATAAACAGTCGATAAGACGTATGACATGATAATTGCATCACTTAGTAAATGTTCCATCATCATCTGCTTAAATTAGATCCGGACTTCTGCAGAAGATTGTATAAAACGTAATGTTACACTCCCATAGAACTCTGCAATAGTAACTGTTTCTTTTTGTATGCGTATTTTAACTATTATAAAACAAACATATATATGACAACTTCGACCAAGATGGCGCTTCACGACTAGATTGTTGCCAGACCAGACGTATGTGCGATTTCTCTTGAAATTAAAAAAGAATAGGAAACCCAGTACGTTCAAAGTGATTTTATTAACAGCGATGACCTTTCGAACTCCATTTAAAAACATCGTTTGTGTACGGTTTACATGCCTCGTCATAGCTTAGTGGGTAACGTGTCTGCCTGCTAATATTATATTAAAAAGTAGTCATCGTCTAGGTGCAAACCCGGGCACAGACACATCTCGTTTCGTGCTGTGTGATACCGGACGCAAAACCCAAAACACAGAGGTTTTAGAGCCATTCTATGTTCACGATAGCTGATATTGAGTTTTTTTGTTCACATAACTCAATGAAAGTCAAACGATTTTTGCTGTATAGGTTGTTAACAAGGTGGCCTTCGATAACGATAGCAATTTCGTCAAAAAAAAAATTGCAATACCCATTCGTTGTACGTTCAGTGTTGAAGTTACGCAACTGACTTGCAGAAGACCCTAGGTGTGCGTATGACTAGGAATGTTTTAAGATAACACAGAAAACGCTAAATAGGTTGTACAAAAGCCGACCGGATCAATAGGTGATCTGTGCATGCATGAGAAAACAATTCAGCCTTTTAGAGAAAAAACACGGCACTACGTGGAACTTGTTGTGCATGAACCATACTAGCGAACAAGTTGGTCATATTTGAGTTTCGCTAACACCACACGAAAAAGAAACAACGAAATCAGTGAGAAATGAGACAACGAGAAAGGCTACATACAAGGACAATGAGAAATACACTAAATATCTTGAAATATTCAATAGCTTCCTATTGAACCCGGTGTTTCGTCTAACAGCGCAACGTAGGAGTTGAACATAGATGAAGCGCTATACACGACAGACGCCTTTTTAATAACAAGAATCCATACGCGAGTGATCGCACGCGGGGTGACTTTTGATATCACGATCACTTTGAGTATAGCAAACGCATATGTCAATATGATGAACGATATCGGTTAGTAAACTTCCATTTGGGTATATTATACATACTAATCTTTAAAATATTTCACTATGTAAGATACACGATATAAGATTCATCTCTTCTAAACTAGACAAAGGAGAGCTCAGAGATAACGTTTGAGAAAGATGCACTGATTCACCATGAGTCGTCATGTCTATTTAATGTCGACGTATATCGCTGTCAGTATTCACTGACCTGTCGCCACTCCCTATAGGTGTAGTTAGAGTGCTGTCCTGGAGCCTGAAGCACCGTAGCGAACTGATGACGATCAACGGTAGCGATTGCCTTCAAATCAGTAGTCGACGAGACACCGCCATGAACAACAAGAACCTTATTGTCAATCAGCGTCCCCAGCGGAAGCCAGCTGTAAAGATCCTCAGTGGCCTGAATAATTTTTGGTGCCTGACGCTGCAAAGTTCAAATGTAAATAAAGACGAATATTGAAAGCGTTAAGTTAGTGATGCAAAAAACGCTTCGGTCCTAAATCGTGTTCAGCTAGTTAGATCGCCTAGTTACGATGAAAAATAAATGTTAGCTTTCAACAATAGGCCCCACAATGATTTCTCTCAAACGATGCGAAACAGCTCCACCAAAGAAACATTGTGTTTTACGGAACGTTTTAAGCGCAAACCAACTTTTCCGTCTATTACAACAAAGAGATTTTTCGGCACACAGATTCTATCGTGTATGTCTGGTCATACGGCTTCTACTTAGAAACCAAGCTGAGATGCTTGATCATTCAGCTGTTGCTGCTCTACCCGGGTGCTTAGACTTTACGGTGCCGTAATTAACAAAACCCTTCTAGCTGCCTAACATTAGATTAAGCACATGCATATGGCTGGAATAAAATCCAAGCCAATATATGATCACATGGAACTATCTTTACCTGATCTTAATATTTAAAACTATAAGGATCGAACATTCGAGATGTCTTGTAGAGAACTTGCAAATACCAACAGATCATAGTAAGCCTACTCCAATGTTGTATGTAGTTGATAGGAATAAAATCTCGTACAGTTGCTGCTATCCCTTTGGAAACAAACGAACCTAATCGTTATAGGGAGCGCAGGATGGCTGGAACAGCTTTGTAATCCTTTTCCGCAAGCAAATGAACAGAGACCTGCGACCCTTTCGCATTGGTTTCAAAAACAAATATACAGAATTGATGAGGTTGGGCAGACAAAGAGAACAGACGAGAGAACAGATACTGATTGTGATTTGTGACTATTAACATGGCCTGTGGCGGTTTTGTCAAATTGGAGTAGGAAAAAATTGGCTCTACTCAAACGTGATAGAAACATGCAGCCAATGCAAAATTATACACTGCAGTCAGCAGCAGTTAGCGGAATATAAAAAATATACGGAATATAAAGTGACGTTCGATGCTTGAAACGGCTAGCGAAAACACATCAATTATCTTATAAGTACAATAATGATTTCATCAAAACTGCATAGCTTCAAGATAAATACTCAGAAGATTATCATTGACCCAAATGTATATCTATACAATCATCGCAATCGAATACTTACCGTGTACTTGTACATTATCTCCTTTAAAAATCCATACCTGCAATGAAGAATAAATCAAATGGTTAAGGTGACTGCTGTTTAACATCCAAAGCGCAAGAGCCAGATAAACTTTTCTCGTCGCGATCCTTAGAACTATTTCGTCTCTATAAAATCATAACTATGTAAACTTATGTAACTTCCTTAATTCTCAACTTCTACCTAATCATCTTCCACACGTATTTTCTTCATTATAGCTGTAGCGTATACCACGGATGTTATTTACGATGCGATTTATTGAATTCAGAATAATACTTTGCCCACGATTCTGCCCTCCTTTTGAGTTTCGAACGCAAGATTTACTTCTGTTCACCGAGTTTACGTTTATTCTTGTGTACATTCCGGTGTAATAAAGGTTTGCTGGAAGGGACAGTTGGTGCAGGGTAGGATCACTTTTAGTTGGAAGAATGCTTAGGGACCTGCTCTCTTATCTTGACTATGCCTTGGGTCTCTACGCGATCTTGGTCCATTGTGCAACATAAGGCCACAACGCGTTCAGTCAATCATAACGCAGTGGTACCGGTGGAGCAGTAATGGATGAAAGTACAAACACCGAAAGAAGTAGGGTTCACTGAAAAAATAATTTGTACATGATACTCATTCAGTCGAAACTGACATATATTCGACTATGGATAAAAGCACCCCAGAACGTCAAGAATTACCGACACAAGAATAATTCGCGCATTCTCATTATGGTAAAGAAAATGCAACATACAAAACATGCAAAAACAACAATCGATTTTTTTTATATGCTGGTGTAGTAGGATGAGCTCCTCGGCAGATGATAACTGTACTGTGATTGTAAACGTTAGCTAACGATAGTACCCCTCCTCCTCCCACGATATACTTGCACCCCTCTTGGGTACAAAAATGCCGTAGGTTTTTTTGCAAAGCCTAAATCCCAGATAAAATCCCTGAGCATGGTCTAATTTAAGCTACACTTTCGTATGTTGTCGTTTCCGAAACTGACCCTGCCAGCAGCTAGTGTCTATTTGCTTTAGCACTCTCTTTCTTTTGTCATATGTTTTAAGTCTTGTACCGACTTCTCTGAGCCTCATCTCTGAAATATTTTTTCAACTTCTTTACCTCACTTCCTCTGACCCAGAAAAGTTATTTAACAAAAAGATTGATTTCATTAGGTAAGGCTCAAGGCAGCACCTTGCCACGCGGGCATGCGCCGACAGGCCTGCCTAGACGTGGCATCCGACGCTTAAATATACTTTGTACTGGTCGCTGTTCTAGACTCTTTTCTAGAAAAGCTTTAATACGGAAACCGATCTGCTATGTTCGCTTGGGAGACCGTTGGCTTATTTAGCTCGGTCGATCCGCTAACGAAGGCAACCGAATTAATATGATCCTGTCGCCAGCTTCATTGAGCGGGAAGAGGAAGGTTTAGCCTCCATTTAACTCTAGCAGACCATTGGAATGAAGGCAGATTTATTTGATTTGTACAATTTCTGTCTTCGGCTGACTGAATCACTTTTCCGGCAGACCCATCTTCTAAGCCTTGCTAAATAGATATCATTAGCTGCCGAAATATGTTACGCCGGAACCATCATCTTGACGAAAGATATCGTGAGTGGCAGTCATGCAAAAACGCAATCGTACGCCTCGGAGCTCACACAAACTAATCGAGACGAAACGATTCAGCTTATCTGCTATTTGATCGTATGAAAGGTCTGAATGGCGTAAAAAATGATAAATAATCAATGCATGAAACACACAGATCCCGCCATTTACAGAACTCTCATATTGTGGAGTCTCGTCGAATACAAACGACAAATAGGTTTTGTTGACTTTTGCCTTTGTCTGCTTCGAGTCTATAGTAAGGTATCGTACCATAAGTGGGCCCTCATTATAGTGGAATTGTTGAGACGATATATCGGCCCAGTATGGCAGGGGTACGGTTCCAGTCCGTCAGATTAGGAAAAAATGGGTTTGCGTTGTAGAGGCAGTAGAAGTGGCAGAAAGGTCGACAATACATAACTGAATGTGGCCGGTTTTATAGCGTTGGATAGCAGCTTCGAGCTCATTCGTTTAGCAAGCCATGTATCATGTGCGGAAAAATAAGGTTGTATGTAACTGTACATAGAGAAGCGTATTACATCAGTAAAAGACACGGTCATCTTGGCAATTCTTTTCTAGCAACATCGTTAACGAGAAAATCATTTGACAGTTTAAGAATATTAGTTTACATTAGGTACCAAAAAAATAAAGCCTAGCAAAAATGAGCTGACAGCTGAATCTTGGGTGAAAATAGCCAGGTTAATAGTTGTCCATATACGAACGTGATAAAGATCATGACGTTTGAATATGTTGATTAATTTATAATGATATTACAACGGTACTGACCGTTCGCGTCAAGTGGATGCTTAAGGCGATCATCTTCATTACATGTACTTCACCAAGTTTCGTATTCTGCCCGTATTTAGTAGTTTAACCACATCGGCATGGTCTCCTTTTGCTAACGGTCGCTTCATATGCATGCGCAACGTAAGAAGACCTTGTTAACTTGATGGATCTGAGCGTCGACGCAAAAACTTTGTCTTTCACCATGTCCCAGACAAAGGAATCTATTGAAATGAAGTCTGGCCATAGTGAAGACCATAGAAGCCTAGTTATTTACAGGCTAACTTCTGAGACACGCACGTACACTTGCGATATTGTGGACCGATGCCCCGTCTTACCCGAAGGCACGCATCATCGTGGCGCGGCGTTATTTATTATTCCAGTAACACAATGTCGTTCGACAGCGCGAGACACAGCCCGTGGAAGGCTATCCACAGTATAATTTTTGGCTGATCTAAGTGTTCATCAGCTATCAAATCAGAAAACGTTTACTAGAGTTGTGACTATTTACTGTCCTATATGTTAAGGATTTGTTTCATTCGGCCACATTTCGTTCAAGCATCACATCACTTTGCATATGTTCTTCATGATCATTTTGGAAAATCACGAATTATACTTCAACTGACCATAAACCAACCTAGGCTAGTATATATATCATACATGACTCATATGCGTCTTATAGCAACCCTGTTTTTTTAAATATAAGTATTCTCGACAGAGGGCTACAATATTTTTAACATTTGATTTCTATAGTCGGTTATAGTCATAAGCCGACAACTCTTCGCACATTAATATATGTACCTCGTCTCAGAACCGTTAATTTAACATTTACAAATATTTTTTTAAAGGCTCACGTATTTCAGGGGTTATCAACTTCCCTCATCGAGGTCTATCAAGATAATAATAAAGGTCATCGAATATCTATCAAAATAATAACCCTTTTAACAGTAGGCATATGTATGGAGTATCGGTTTAATGTTAAAGTTACCTAAGATTTGGTAAATCGCTCGCTGGGATAATAGGTGCGTCCCGAGCTCAGCGCGCCAATGTTGTGGAACTCGCTTTGTGTAACAATATATTTAGTCCTAAATACTTCCGTCATTGTTGACGTATGTGGACGAGGTGTAGAGCACGGAGGGAACCGTGTCGCCGTCGAAGCAACGATTTATTTAACTACTCGAAACTTGAACAAAAGGTCAGGACCTCAAGGACAACGGCACGTGTGCACGACCGGTCACATAAGCGCCTGTTCAAACTTGCTGTCGGTTTCCTGCCAGTTCAGTACTAATCCAACCAGCTGTGGGCAGCACGGCGGCCTGAGATCAGTCAGTGAAGTCCTTCGTGAAATCCCGTACTGCAGCGCCATCGTCCGATTTCGCGAGCGACTACCGAAGTTATCGATGTGCAGTTGCATCTGCACTGTTGGCGGAACCGGACAACACCGACAGTAGGTCAAGCTTTGATGTTTGTTGTGATGTGTAGAGGTGTTTCTGAACCGATCTTGCAGCGTTAAGAGCAGCTAGGCTATGCAGTAGTATGGTACGGAAGGAAATATCTGAATCGAATGCAAAAACTTCGATGCTGCCCGCTATTGGGAAAATATCAAGGGGATCAACAAAATGCAACAGGACGAATCTTATCTAAACGAGGTCATCGCTGAATTTGAAGCAGAAGCAGATATTACGGGGTACGCGCTCGTCGACTGAATCAGAGGGAACAAAAGAGCGCCGTTGCAGATCGCGCGACCCTGGGCTGAAGCTGTGATCATGCAAAGGATGAAGAAACGCCTCCATATAAGCCCCGGAAAGACTACAAAGGTCAGCCAGTGGCTTGGTATAAAGGTTGGCGACGCCTGAAGTCCAAAGACCTAGACGCGTATATTTTGCACGGATATTGAGGTGTGTCGATCAGCAGCAGTATGTAAAGGTCCAATCTAATAAAACATAGGAACTGCAGTGCTTGAAGGAGAGCGCAAAAATGTCAGCAATCATTGGACAACGTGAGTACGGCAAACCTTAGATGGCTGTCAGTTGCGTTTGCACAGAAGATCGGTATTCCCAAGATAAAGCTAGCAAAGGATGCAGATGGCCAAAGACCGTATACTTGAACACGTGAGTAGGTAGTGCAGCCGAATGTCACGGGGTATTTGCGTCGTTATCTCTATAGCGCCTTACAGCCACTAGCCGCTATTGGATATAAACACAGGCGTGTATTTATGATAGACGTGCATATATTTACTCCCAAATATTCCCGTCAATAACGCTCTGATCATATGTAGACGCAAAGATGCATTTATGATCGACGAGTACTTGCTCATCAGTTAATATCGTACTGTTAATGTCATGACAGTCGAGCCACGCTTATTCCGCAGAGTACCCTTAACTCGCGGCTGGAATCCTCTAACACTTAGTGGATTCAAATAAGCGTTTCTGGCCTTGTGGGTCCAAACGACGTCTCTGGCCTTAAAGAACTGAACGTACGTTTTCGGCTTAACGGGTTCGAAAGTACGAAATCAAGCTATTTTTAAAGTGGTTGATCGCAGCTGTGTAGATTACTTACGACGATAACGTGCGAAAAAACAACAAAAGGGTTCTAAAATCTATGGCAAAGCTTAGACTAACATCAAAGAAGGTGATGCTGTGTGTTTTGTTGGATCGGAAAAAGATCGTGCATTATGAGCCGCTGCCGCCTGGTAAAAGGATTGATTCGAATTTTTACTCACTTGAAAAAAATCGGCCGAAATTAATGAATAGAAGAAGTATCGCTTTTTACATGCCAATGTCAGGCCATATATATCGTCAGCCACCCAGAAAAAGTGGGCGGAAAATCTTAACGCACCCGCATTAATAAATCTTGCACTATTAGACTATTATCTATTTCGGCCTCTTCAGCACTCCGTTAATAGTGTACAATTTAGTTTCAATGGAGAAATTCAAAAAGAACTTGTCACAATTTTTTTTTCAGAAACCACATCAGCTCTGCAGCGGTGGGGTTTTGGCGTTAGAAAAACAGCAGAAGGTCATTAATAAAAGGGGCCGATATTTAATTTAGAACATGGGCCATTACATTTCAATTATATACGAAACCGTAAACCGTTGACGCTAATTTTACAGAGAAACTGCAGGAATATGCACGTTTATATACATGGAAAGTGAAACTAAGGTATCGTAGTTCGTACACGTTGAACCACATATCGCTGCTATGCGCGACGTGTCACATGTGCCTACGTTTGGAAGAAATTTTCGGAGGAACTTCGTTACAATAACTTATCGTGCAGATAAACCAGCATTGCAGATATACGCACCATATCGCAAATGACCACGAAAATAAATGAACATTTACCATGGATGAATATTTATACCAAAGTCATGCATTAGCATTACAGTTGTAGAGACTTCAGTGTACTCAAGTTGGTTTCGGAGCTATTCGTTCTCATTTCTGAAGCTGGATGCCACTCGCGGACTTGCTAGTACATGGACAATTAAAAACTCAGCAAGTTTCATACTGGCCTATGTTGGACATATGCAAACTTTCGTCCTGTGTAACTTGGCAACAACTGACCACAGTTAACCTTTTCTGTAAAGAAAAGGTTATTGTGGTTAAGAAAGCATTTTCTCTTTAACTCTGTTGGATAACTTATTTTTTTTATATCAAATGTTCATAGGGTCCGTTTAGCCCCATATTTAGCCTATTTAATTCTACCTATTATGGGCCTACAACGTAGATACCTTCTATTAATCTTTTCTGACATATGAATGAATTATAGTAGACTCAATCGATATGACGAATGATATAACAGAATAGTATTTGATGAAGAGACTAACATCTTTTTTTCGTGGCACCGGTATTTTTCAATGGGAGTGTTTGGCAAATTTTGGACCATATAGTCCTACCTTCCCCTACATATATATACAGCAATGTAATACGTATTAATAAGAAAGAACTTACAACAATAGGTTTTACAGTTGAAAAGTATTCTATGATATTATAGTGCAACAGATCCTAAACCGTAATGATAACGTATGCGTGTCCAAACATTGTACGCTAGCTGCCTGATTAAAGCACTCAACAACTGTGTAAACACATCCATATACTGATAAAATCGTTTATAGGCAACTCACATCCAGACATCAACTAAATTTCTTTTAAAAATAGGCCTATGTTCAACATAATATACCAGTGCTGAACATGCGCGTGTGAATTAGCTTTAACGGTTAGCTTTTCTTGTCGTGGCCTACGCAAAGACCACCCGTGCACGCAAACAGATAATCATCGATTCGATTTGTCTGCTTTATACACGCGTCTAGGCTTTTCAAGCGTTAGTTAAGCAGTCAACTTCTCCCGCATTAGTTCTGTCTTTGAGAGGGCTCATGGGTTACTTTGTTAGTAGACACCTATCTGTTTTCCTTTCACATGAATTCTAGTTATAGAGGGTGCGAGTGGCTAGAATCAGCTGCCAGTGAGGAGCCGTTTGCCGCTGCGGTCGCGACAGAGACGCCAGCCGTATAGTCGCGTGGTATAAACAAACACTTCAGTTACTTCGGTTCACTTTTTGAGCTGTACTTAAAAGAAAGACGGGGATCGTTGGCTGCTAATCATTGCTTCGCGTCATCCGTTAAGCCCTTGCTTCTATCTGGGATGGTCTTACTCTAGCTAGCAGCGCTGTTCATATGCAGCGTGCATAAAGAGAAACATCAGCTTTAGCACAGAGTAAGCTCGTTTGAAGATACACAGGCGGTAAGAATCCCCCTAAACCCATCAGCCTGGAGGCAATACGGCAAAGAGAGTGATGTGACGGTGAACCCTTAACGCTAGCTGCACCCCCCGCCCCTAGCCCTTTCTGATTCTTTGTCCGTTTCCCGCTGTCTACCACTTGCTGGCTTGATGCAAAACGCTGAACATTCGTTAGCATTATGCACCAGTATCCGGATATTTACCATTGGACCGTTCCGATGTCTGGTAGGCGATTGTTACTACTGCAACCGTCATCACTGCCGCCACTCAAAAAGGGGAATCGTTGCGGCATTGCTAAGCTCAAAGGTGGACAGGAAGCCTATTCTTATAGGACAATCTTTTGTACCAAGCGACCTGATCATGGACCAGCAACTAACATAAACAATTCCATAAAATGTTACACACATGTTGAGAGAAGACATGGCCTATCGTACATATTGTCAATAGAGCAATCGGTGAGTGCAATAGGATTTATATACAAAAAGCACATACTGTCAACAGCTGTCAGTTTTAATACAGTGCAGAATCTAACGAAAGAGGTTAGTTTTAAATAATGATACCATTTCTTCTACGTATATGTAGGTGATGACTATTACGTTAAGCGAAAATATGGCTGGTTTGCTCTATATCTCAAATTGCAGAGATTCATCCTTGCAAATAAATTAGAACAAACAAGGGCGGACATTCTCAGAAACTTCTGCGACATCTTATCATTGTAAACGCAATGCAAAATGGTACTATTTGCTCGGGACAACAATCATATATATAAATATAGTAAATAAGAAACGATGAAGCTCTGTTTTAAGATAATTCAGATAGGTCTTTTTGTGGGCGCTGGTACAATTGCACATTTCTATAAGCAAACGCATTTTATGTTCGTACAACGCAGACATTTCGATTTAGTTCTCTTCAAAAAGTGTCATTCATTAATATTGCTACAACAACTACCGGTCTCAAGTACATAGGAAAGGCAAGAACTGGTCGAACAAAAAGAGCTAACTGAGCTAGGCGAGTAAATCCGGAGCCAGGTAAATTTACGAAAAAATGAGCTATCGACGACACTGTTGAGCTCTCGTAATGTCCGGGGTAAGATAAGTCTTTTTAAACAACATTTAAAAATAGAAAATATCTATTTCGGGTTTAAACAGACTAAGGCTAATAGTCGACTACGAACAGAATTTCATGGTACTTATCAGGGCAGCTAACGACCTAAAAATCTGTATATCTGGAGCACACTTTAGCTCACAAAAGTGTGCCATAGATATTAGCAATACATCACACCTTTCTACGCTAGTCGCCCGTTATCTTGAATTGTCATCTTGGCTTACCAAATCAAGAAACTGTAGCTGCGTATTTTAACCGAGATTTCATCGAAAAAATAACGCTCGTCCAACCCAATTTTGAATCAATTTATAGGTGTCCTGTCTTGTTGCTGGCCGAAATTGTGAAATATTCTCTGCAGTCACGTAAATTCGAGATTTGTTATCTGAGGATAGTTGAAATATGAAATCCGCTACAGGGCTTGCTCTTACGATCGGGAACTTGGTCCGTTGCTGTGGCTCTCTAAAGTGGAAGGTTTGCTACAACATTCTACATATGTCATGCTGCGCAAGATTTTTTTTACAGTTTACGACGATCGTTCCATTCATCATAAACAGCGGCTAAAAGCGCGTCTGTCTTTAGTAGTTATATTACAAGCAATTTTCATCTTTCATAGAATTTAAACGAGAAGAGGCAACGCAACTTCTACGTGTAGTCTCTAATACCTCAACTAATAACAGATCTGCTAGATAGGAACTTCGGTTTGGCTTCACGATTAGAAATGGCATTTGCACTTTGTATCAGAGGTAATCGCACCTTGCAGCCTATTTACATCTTCACGAAAATTCTTCCACCAGGGCGGCTGATCGCGCACTAAATCTATAATGTACTTACCTAAGATTAACGTTAAAGTCTTCATGGTTGCCACGGTTGAGGAAAACGCAGTCCTTCCACACGAGCATGCAAAGTAACAACAGCATTAAAACTTCGACGGAGTGAATGCCACGATCGACAAAATCGCCGTTGAACACGTACGGGTTGTCCTTTGACGGTAGGCCATTCTGGAAGTACACATTTTCAATTCAGCGTGCTAAAAGTACCGCTTGTAGTTCTAGACTAATCCGGCCCTTCTGAGGTCCCTACTTTTCCTCTTAAAGACTCTTGAAGAGAAGTAAATGCTACACGTAGTACAGGTATGATTTTACGATAGTTTCCACAATGGAGCCTAACTATAGATGAAACGTGATTACATTTTTATTAATTACTTCGTTATATGGAGAATGGTAGCAATTGAACGCTCTGTTCGTTACCGATATCGAAATCTGGGTTGATGAGGCAGTGGACAATCGAGTAAAAATCTAGAGTGAGGCATTGCTTGCCCGAGCCTTTGGAGGATACATGTTTTTTTTGGAGGATAAATTATTTTTACATGCAAGAGCACCAATTATTTGTCATGCAACAATAACCAGAACTAGACCAATAGGGCCAATCAGCATTAACTACATCATTTCTTACACTTAGTAATATAGCTTTCACTTAGAAAAGTTAGACATATAAAAGAACTAGCCGGATCTTAGCTTAGATAGCTTACATATAAAAGAATTAGCCGGCATCTAGATGTCAAGGTTAGTGCACGCGCGCTGACAGGCTTAGTAAATGTGTATTAAGTTGAACTTGGGTCTCCATGCCATATTTTTGAGCTTTATGAAGTTAGTATATCAGGGGTGTAACAGGTTAAACGTAAAAGGTTAAGATAAGCCAAAACCATCCGCTCAAAACGTGACCTCTTGGCATTTGGCATGACAAAGGCGACAAATTTCATCACACATTTCTGCATATCACCATAGGTCCAAGGTATAATCAGTATAGGTGCTTATAGGACGCCGGTAATCATCATAAACCATATCGAATCGCTTAACGTAAACCGGCCCTAAACTTGATTCGTTTACCTCAAACTACTACAAGAAACACCTTCTATGAAATTGCTATTCAGTGGTAAATATTTCACCTACATTGTTCATTGCTTATAGCTAGAGCAGATTACAGCCACGGGCGTCCTAAAATTTAGCCTGGACCGATGAAAGTTAGGAACATAAGCAACCTTACAGTAAATAACCACAAGCAGTTAGATCTATAAAAATATAATAAAATGAGAGGTCAAATCTGCTGACAGAGGCGAAACACCTCATTTTGAAATACAAATTGTTAACGCTTCGAGTTACTGTCCCGTTGTGCACTCTTCATATATCTAACTGGCCCCTACCTTGTAAAAAACTGTTAGTAGATCATCGAGTTTTCCGTGCAAATCACCAACGACGGTGATCTGCTTGGCAAAAGCGGTTGATGCAGTTGATAGATTAGGCATCTGCCGTAGAAAATATCGCGCCTCGTGGATAATGGTAAGAACGTACCTTGCATGTAACGTCTGCAACGAGCAAGCCAGCCACACACAAGCATACGTAACATCGCTTATCTGTATTTCGTGATATACTTTGACCTTTCGTTGAAACGCATTAGTTTTTGTAGAATTTTGTTATATCATGAATCAGCGTCTTCTGACTACTAATTCTATTCTACAATTCAATTCAGTATATGCTTTTTTCGTGACGTTGACGTTTCAACAACAGCGTATCATATACAATCACGTGATCCTCGATCATTAGCAGAGGTGCGGGTACCTTACGGGAGAATATGTAAAGCAATGGATTAAAAAGGAATTACTAGAAGTTTCAACAATGACACTATTGCCGTAACGGTGACGTAATGCGGATCAACTTAAATAGGTTAAGCTGTATAAGTCGAAGTGGGCCAATTATTCAGAGGTATGAAGAGATCTGGCATGGTGCGAAGACCATCGCTACAAATGGACATCCTGATCGAGAGATACACAACTGTTTGCCTTATACTTATTTCTAACACAAATAGTTAGGTAATCTCTGACAAAATATCTGAAACACGTGCATAAATGAAATAATCCCGTTCTTTCTTTCAAAACCATAGTATTTGAACAATAAGCGCACTGTGTGGCATTACTTAAGCCCGGTGAGAGCGGCCCAGCGACTACGATTCTGTATCAAAGCAAAACCTGTATCATGTCTGCCACCGTTGGTTTACGATCGTGAATTATGTAAACTTCAAGAACGATAGGTGTCGACAACAGTGTAGTGTGCAGGAAGAAATCGGCAATAAGGTTGGACAAGATACTGATTTGCGCCTTTTTAACACTTACCCCGCATCTGGCAATACTGACAGCAACAAATCTTCTACCTGTATGAGACATGTGGGTAATAAGCACAATGCTCCATGTTTGCCCTGGTAGAATAAACGAAGGTATATGCTTTTGGTGAACGTAGATCTGCATATGCTATTACAGAGGCGAAACACCTCATTTTGAAATACAAATTGTTAACGCTTCGAGTTACTGTCCCGTTGTGCACTCTTCATACGCTATACTAATCAACGTTTGAGTGACCTAAAACAATATTGCCATAAGAATTTCATTGCTTCGTATATTCAAGTCATACTTGTAGCTGTTCTCTGATCTGAAGGATCGATGAAATTTTTAAAAGAGGCTCGGCTTCAGGTGAATGGAGTGAAATTGATTTTTGAGCTTCGAAGGGTAGAGACTTCGAGTCGTTTTGTTGTAAGCAACCCTAAAACAGTCCGTATCGGCCGTCTATTTCATCGCTGTCGTCATTGGTAATAACTTCAAAGTATAGGTAGAGGTTTAATACAGCGACAGATCTGTGAAGTCTACCCTTGAGAAGAAGAAGCGTCGAACGATGCAGAAATTGTTGAAACAAAAGACTGACGTTTATTTATACAAGCGAAGGAAGAGAACGAAATGCGCTTACACGGAACGTACAACCGATGCAATGGTACGAGCATTCTATAGCTCCATGTTAACTGTAAAGGTTCGAGAAGCCACATCAAGCAAGAATAATATGGCAATACAATTCAACCCATCTGCGATGGGCATTAGCAAAGGAAACCAGGTCTTGCTACTCACTCTAACGACCCGATGAGCCACCTGATGTTTGACGGGAAAATTTGATGGGGTAAAGTTTTTCTTTGGATAAATAGTCAACCGACGGTACGTTAGCTTCAGTCAGTAGATGTTGTCGTCTATTGTATAGATTCATTGTTAGATAAAATGAATAAGTAACAACTTTTGGATCGCAATTGGACGAGCTTGACCGCACACACCCTTGTTAACTATTACGTTTCGACCATCTTCCAAGGTAAAAAAAATCATGCACTTTTTATCTTATCACTTACCCTTCTTTCCTTAAAGGATTGAATTAGCTGGTTGACATGTTGCGAGGTGAATGGCGGCTCAAGATGAGCTCCTCTGGAAAAGTCCGTATGAAATAAAGAAAATCACACCAGGCTGACATACTCGTCCCCATGATAGATTAGTGTTCGCTTGCTAGTCTTAAAGACACGTTGTGGTCTAGGTTCGACCCGGGCATAGATACGCAGTTCGTTTCGTGCTGGGAGCCAGCCAGCCGTCTGACTGAATGCCTAACGGCGATACGTGACGTAAAACTTGAAACATAGAGGCTGATATACCAGGCGAGCATTAAGACGGCCCAGGAGAAAAAATAGTTTATGGCTGCAAATCAGTACAATGCATTTTTGATAATTGAATTTCATAATTGCTACCGGTATACTTTACATTGAATGTATACTTGTGGCACATAGGTAGTAACTTGTAAACGTGGTAGTGGCAAAATTTTTTAAAAAAATTTTTCCTCAAAAATTTTATATTGGACTTGATGGCTGTGATTTTTGCAAACCTTAGATAAATTGATCAGTGTAAGTTCTTTATGTTACAAATGTGGGTGGCAAATATTTGTTAGTTAAATATATCTAAATAAAAGTTAAATATATACCCATAACCGTTCTGGGTAAGACCAAGGTGTCTGGGCAATCTCAGTAGCCTACGGTGCTGAAATATTACGCAACTAGCCATAGAAAGACCGTTTAAAGTTTTGCAACTGCACAGATTTGCATTACTTTATTTGAATACTTATTTTTCCAAAGACCACGAAACTTCCATCATCATGAAATCGTAGAGGTTATAACAGCGGTTAGCAGATCTACGTTTAAAGAATTCAGTCATTCTTATTCGTTTTTTAAGATAGATGTAAATGAATATCATACCTTCATTACTCATATAACTAAATAAATGTGATAGGAGTGATTAATTTTGGCAAAATGCCACGTGCTTTTCAGCTGCTCATCTACCTGTAGGTCTCTTCGACGATAATTTCATTTGGATCAGTGTTCCGGTAGAGTTCCGCTTCGGCAGCTGCGAGACGTAGTTGGTCCTTTGGTAGGGGTTCAAGGCCTGCAAAATGATTCCGACACCAAAAGGCAACATAAGAGATCTTCGAGTTGTGATGGTTTATGGTCAAACAAACAAACAAACAAACTACCAATAATGATTATTAGTTGTCATCAACAAACGAAAATTTATGAAGGCAGTTCCTTTTAAAATCTGTATGAACCGCCTTTCTTAACAACCTCTAGATCCGTTTTTCCTCTGATCTAACGAAATATAATAGCAGGTCAGGTTCAGCTTTCAAAATATTGCGTAGGTTATCTTAGCTAAAATAAATCCAGTGGATTTTTTTGCGATATCGTTTGTTTCCAACTTGTTACCAACTTCAAGGTAGTGAAAGAGGACGAGCCCTAAACCTAGTCGTAATTTGTCGAGTAAAGTAAACATGGAAGAGACGTAATTAAAGTGCGACTTTGCATATAAGCCAATGAAAAAGCTTTTAATATAAGTGAGAAAACCATTACATTACCGTTTATTCTTTAGTTAGATAAATTATTATATCTCCCCGGTAGTCCCGGGGGAGCTTAGACCTTATGTTAGGACTCAATCATGGACTGCAAGATTGAAAACATGTTGCGTATATTCAGAAATAAAGCAACCAATTTCTGCAAATTCTGCTTATTCATCAACCGCAGAAATAATTGTGGTTACAAACGCCGACAGAATCGTAATTTTTACCGTAACTGACAAAAAGAGCCGTACTTTTGTATTTCAATAAAAAGTTTTCAGTGCCCACTAACTTACGAGGAAGTCAAGTCGCATCTCCAAACGCCGCACTGAAACACATACATACACCAGATGCAGATATCTACGCTTCAATGAATTCGGACACAAAAAACAATGAAATAAACGGCTTATAGATAGAAAGCGGAATGTTTATGATCAGTCTTATGGTAAACATCTGGCTTGCTTGAATAAAGGCAGATAATAGTGAGATGAAATCTTCTTGACTAGATTTAAAAGTTTCGGAAAATAATAACAGTGAATAACCTATGCGCATTTTGCGTACACGTTTACGTGAGCTTAGTTTGGACATTTGCTGTTGCACACTCCGCCCTCGAGTCCATGGCCACAGCAGTGCATTATCTCGTTTTGAATGTTCGCGCATTGCGGAATCTGAGCTGGCGTGTCTCTCTCTCTCTCTCTCTCTTTTTTTTTTGTCAGCCTACTTAACCGTGAGTATGTTTAATATTTCACATCATATAAATTCTCCAATATCTCAGTAAAAATCAATTCGTATGATCTTTCTAATAATGATAAACTTTGAACGGTTCTATTAGGGCGCCTTTTTATTACGCGTAGCACAGTCGTGAAACCGAGAAGTCGGGGCGTCCCGGACGGCACGTGGATGTAACGATAAAACGGAACAAGACAACAACAAGGAAAAACCAAAGATCGCAATTGCAAAATGTTTCTCAAAGGTAAATGAAGAGAGGACGGCATTAATCCTCTGCGAGCGGCTTGCGAACGACGGAGCAAATGGATCAGGCACCGTTACCTCATCCACACTCCACACATTGAATAACGAGAATTTTACTTCGTCAACCTAATCGATCATATATAGAACCATTTCGCGTCAGTAAGCAAGAGTAACAGCAACTAGCATAAAGGGGCTAACTATAGCAATGGGAGAATAAGTGGAAGCACTGGGACATATTTTCGATCTTGCCAGCTTACCATATTCGTTGCATATACCCTATCCCTCGAAAAAGAGGCACGGTTCCGCCCCGAGGCAAAGCAGAGAAATAGGCGGAAACAAAGTATGAGAAATTTGCTCGAAACGAGGAGCTTGAGGAACTGCGGGAGCTTATGGCGTCTCTAGGTAAAAATGTTTGGCAGGAGATCTAATTTAAACTTAACACTACCTTTTCAAGGACTGACATGGTAGGTGCCGCATGTATATGTTAGTTCGTTAGTATGAAACCTAACACGGTTAGCCTTAACTTTTATAGTTTTTTCATTGGCTTATTTCTGTACCTTTGAGTCGAAGTGTGCACTGTTATTATTGATAACTATCTGCCATCTGGATAATGATTTGTTCATCTTGCTGCCGTAGAGGTTTGGAGCACGAAAGTCTACAATGTTTCGGAACGCAATTTCGACATCGCGTTCAGCTCTGAAAAATGTGTCTATTAGAAAGTTCTCGAGATTCAAAAAGAAGTGGTAATCTGCGGGAGCAGTGTCTAGCGAGAATGGTAAATGACACAGGGTTTCCACATGTAACTTCTGCGTTTTTGCCATTGTGCGTGGCAGGGCATGCGATGGTGGGACGACTACGACGTGAGGTCGAGCGATGTTTATCTTTGCTTAACTACTTAATAGTTAAGAAGAGTTTTTTTTATCACCTTCTCCAACCGTTGACAATACATTTCGACCGTAATTGATGAACCAGGCCTCATGAACCTGTAGCGAATAACACCTGCATTAGTCCATTAAACAGGCACCATAAGCTTTTTCAGCCGTAAATTTGCTTTAATATGGCGTCCCGCGGGTTCAGTGGCATCCACTCACTAATGTAGCTGTCTGCAATTATCCTAGATTCTCTTTTTCGTAATAAAATAAATTTCGGTACAAAAACGTGTCACTGTTGTAACATAAAATCTGTGACAGGAAAACAAGCGTGTCTGCGTTTCCGTTTTTTAATTTTTGTCCAAGTCGTGTAGTATTGGTTTGTACAATTTTTTGACTATATTAATTCCATCCAAGTGGTTAATATGCTATTTTTCATGTACCAAATTTCGGCGTTAACGCTCCTGTATAATAAATTAGCTTCTAAATATCCAGAGCCCTCAAATCTTCGTTATTTACTTTTGTACGAGGCCTTCTTCGGCAAAGTTTTTCTAGTAATTGGATATCCATTGAATATTGAGTTCGTACAGCGAGCTGCATAACTGCTGTAGTTCTAGGCTAGAGCCTATACTCGAAAACAACTTGATTTTTTAATTTAACACAACTTGCTTACTTAAAGCCCGAGCTGACGATATCCGAGCAAATGCTCTTAGGTTACAAATACATACGAAATAAAAATGCTCTGAAATGTCGCGCCGTTATAAAATAGCCTCGTGTTGATATATAAGATTAACGTTTGTCTCTTTTTATACTGAATGACCTACCATATGGAACTGGGCAGGCAAAAATACGCTCTATTCGAAATTGAATTAAGCTAATCGCTATTGCGTTGGTTGTCGATGCATAATGAGGTGGTCACGAGAAAACAGTGGCACCTATCTCAAAACGTCATGAACGCAGACCTTTTTTCAGGCCGTTTTCAAACATGAGGACGATACCGAAACTAGGGTTTGCTGCGCGGAATTTCAGAGCTCACTATGTCGCCACTTGCGCTACTAGCAAGGCCAATTTTTTACTCCTGATGCACAGAACGTTTTGCCCAGGTCTCGTTCGAAAATTTAAAAAGAACTAGAGTTTTTGCAAGTTCTGTGTTTGAAAAAAAGTACGCTAAAAGCGTAGCACTTTTTCGTCTTGTTATTAGTTTTAGATGCGGGCCTATTGTCAGGCTATTATACATTGGCCAGAAAAAACGACTGCAAACTCTGTCTAAGTGAAATTAATTTGACTGATCTCAAGAGATAGATTTCCTCATTTCATTGATGAAATGATTGTTCTATTCGTCAGGGGTTTCACACCAATATGTTGACCAACCTTAACATTATTAGCTCTAACTAGGGCTATCGGAACAAGCCGTTCCTGTGATAATATACATATAAATGTAAAACTATATAACGTTAAATCTAGTTGCAAACTGTATAATCCATTATTTCAGGTTCCTACCAATGACGGAACTTTACCGAAACCCGAATTTAAAAATGGGGTCCTGGATCGTCGACAAAACGGCTGATCGATATTGGTCGGAGATTCTTTCATAAAACGAGAAATATTGATTAAATCCTGGTGATATTGCCCTTTCTATAGTAGGCTGTCGTGGGGACGTTTCATCAGCTTCGTTCCCCACCTTGAAGCATTTATGAAATTCTAATTCTGATATTTCTGTGACAGTTTTATGCTAGATAAAAGAAATATGAGGTTGACATATGAGAAAAGTTAAATTTCTTTTGCTGAAATATATAAAAAATATAAAATAAAAAAAAATAATACAGCGCAGTACGCGGCGATGTCCTGTATTGGCCAAAAGCCCATATACTGGTTGCGAAACTACTAGTATTTTGCAGCTGTAGGAAATTTCACAAACCTGAGTTAATCTACTACCTATATTTTTGAAAAGCGCATTACCTCACGTCGTTTTCGATGAACCTATATTTGTTCCACTGCCATACGTAAGGCAAATTACATCCTGTTGCAAAAGTGTGCAAGGAGAGGAAACGTTATAAAATCAGCTTTGCTGGCTAGATGGCAAGAAATAGCAGACAAATATTCCTCTCACTGAAACTCTTTCGTAGCTTGTGGTTCAATGTTTTAGCTAAGCATTTGTTAATAAACGTGTAATAAAAATAGTCTTTGTATTCTATATCTATATCTATATATAGTGAAAAACAGTTGATCGATGCATTGAATTACCGTACTTAACTTACAATTCACATAACACAGTTATCTGACCACTAGTTATGTATAAGGAAGCGCAATGTGAGCTATTTGCATCGTTTAAGGTTGTATCCAAAAGCGCTCGATTAGGTCCGAAAGATCAGTCCGACTATATGTTAGAAAATGATTTCTAAATGGGTGCGGGAATTTCAAAATGGCGCCGGACCAATGGCGCTATTCTCTCTAATGAAGCCGGTAGTTTACTCCAGCATCTGACAGTTTGAACCCGGTCTCTGACTGGACCTTTTATAACGCCACATATAGTTATCCAACTGTTGGATTGTTCCTGCAGCCTCATGATAAATCGCTCGATTGCGTACGAACAGGTGGAGCACGCTTACATAAACCTAACAAAATCTATATATATAAGGAACGTTCATACTATTACATCATAAACTGAAGTTACTATCAGGGCAGAAGACAGTAATTTGAGACTGACGAGTCTCCAGCATTTGTCATGTTGGCTACAAGACAAACAAAAAGTTGAAAAGAACAACCGTTGACAGCCTGTGACTGACTGGACTCGAACGCAACCAAATGAAGTCTCCTATACTTTTTTAAATTAAAAAAAAAAAAGGAAAAGAAAGTATTATTTGAGTTATTAACATCATTGTTTCTCGTAGGTAGTTTGAGTGATGTAAATCTGGTTATATTTTTTTCTTGCAAGTTATCCGAAACTTGTTTTTGAGGTGTCGAACTTAAAACCGCTCCTTGCGGGAGTATGGTTCTGAAGAATATGGACGCTTGCAACCTTACCAACTAACCGGCCATCATTGGGGCGCATTTCTAGGTTGAGCCTGTGTCGATTTAAAAGTATAAAAGAATATGGCAAATGAACATGTCAAAACGGAATACTTGTATCCGCTGTATAAAAAAAATGCTGCCAGAGGTGAGGCTGGGCCTTATATACTCCCATGAGGGTCGAGAAGCTTACTACCCGTTTGGTGGTCCTGCACCTTGTGTCGTAGACAACTCATCCACCTTGAAACGTGTCCCTAATTTTTTACGCTTGGTACTTGTGCAACAGATAATATATTCATTTTGTACTTTGGAAGCTGCGAATCAGCCATGAATATCTAAATAGAATAATAGGAAACCCAAAGGGTAGCAGTCTCATTGCGCAAAGCCTTCGCTAAGCAAATATTGAGCCTACAATATGGCTTAACGATAATTACTAGATTCTCTTAAAATTGAACCGAAAGCAGGGTAAGCTTCAAGATTAGCCTCGTCGATAGGACATTATACCCTTATGAGACAACTGAAGCTGCTAGCGCCTTTATCGGTCATGAATTTCTCATAGTTGGCTAAATACACTGAATTTTTAACTCTACGACAGAATGGATAAAGAAAAAATGCCGTAACTTTGCGTATAACTTTTCAAATTATTAGCTTATACTTTGATTAATTTATATAATGGTCAGGTTGCCCTAACCGTTTTTCGGCCATAGATTTCGGTAAGTGTATTGGAGCATGCTTTTTAATGTTATAATTACAATCCGGCGTTCCTTGCGTTTTCGCTACAGCGTTTGCTTTCTGGATTTTTAAGTTTCTCGCATCGCACTGGGCATCCTTTACTATTTACAATATCTATGGGCTGGGATACGACGGCGGTAAGGAAGATGTTTTTTTTTTTTACTTTTAAGGTTTTGCCTCTTCCGCCAACTCACGTTGCAAGTGATATAAGCTCTTCTCTCGAACGGAAGTTTTCTAAATTTCGTGTTGCGTAATGTGGAAAGATCCCACCATTGGCGTGCATGCTCTGACAGGATAACTGTTGCACAATCTTACGTGTTACGTGTCGCACACGCACGTTCGCTTTTGGAAATCACATGATTCCTACCTTGCGCTTACATAAGAACATTAAACTAGCTCGTTGAAAAATCATAGACTGCTTTTAAACTAAAAGCAAAGCAAAGCAAAGCAAATATTTTCTAAATTTTATAAAAATATTAATTAACTAATTAAATATGCACCATTGCGATCGATAATTATTTTGTCTTTTTTTTTTTTTTGGAAACGTCATCACCCCATTATTGTAGAGTGTTCGTGATTTTTGAGCGAGATTACAACCAGTGATATCTGTATGATCCCTCCGTTGACACTAAAATAACGCCATTAAGAAAATTCTGCAGAGAGAGACATAGATGATTGTCCGACGGTGCAAGATAAGATCCCAGCGATATGTCCTTTAATTTTTGGCTGGTAGCTGAAGATCTACGTATTCTGGCATTGTGGTGGTAAGGCACGACGACTTTTCTGTTCACTAGTTTCAATCCATTTTTTTTAATGGCTTGTTGTAATCTTCTCAGTTACTGACGGAAGAGGTCGAAATGAGTCATTCCGCAAAGCAGCAGTAACTCATGATGCATGATTCTTCTCCAGTTACATCAAGCATATAGTGTCATCTCGTTTGGCTTAGTCTGGGCTTTGGCACAAGTTATGTAATATATTTTTCTCATTAGCACATTATTGGCCACTTTTGATCACATGTGATGAACCGCTTGAAGTCAACGACTCTTTCTGAACATCTTGTTTGTAATTTTCAAATGGTTCGAAATTGTGTGATATCATGGTACCTTCTTGTCCACTTTTCACAATTACTTCATTAACGTTCCTCGGAACTGATCAATCACTCCTCTTTCACATTTAAATTTCCAGAATCCAGTCTGATGTCCTTATCGTAGTAGCATTATAAAATTGATATCTCATACATTTTCAAAGCGTTCTCTATCATCGGTCTGAGTGTAACATTTAACAATTTTAGCACATTTACTGCTACCCAATCTCGGTCTTGATACCTACACTAATACTAAATTAGCGGAGATATGTGATTTCCGAAAAAAAAAAAAAAAAAAAAAAAAAAAAACATTCGTGAAAACAATCGACACTTTTTCATTAGCCCAGTCAGTTTGTAGGAATAATGAAGTATCAGACTTTCTTAACGTCGATACAACTGAGACCGGCGCAGACTGCCTTACGCTGTGCAACGTTTACATCAGCGAGCGGATTTTATATCTTTGTGAGGAGAAACGTTAAGCGTCAATCTAAACATGCTAGCCTATCTGTCTAGAAGCTTAACTCCGGCATTAAATATAGCCTTCGATCGTACTCTATGGCTATAATAATAGGTTCTGAAACATTCTACCCAATCTTGAAATATGCTTGAAAGCCTTCCTACTATAATGACGATTTACTCTATTACGAAATTCGCAACTAAAAGACCGTATCACAATTGATATGCCCAACGAAGTATAATGATTATAAAAATGATATAAAGAATACTCATTATTCTATAGAGTATATCGAAAAGCTTGAAGGGAAAACTCCGGTCGAATTGCTTATGAACACAAACCGTTCAGAGATGGTAACAAGCATTTCCGTGAAAATTATTGCAAAAGGACATGATCGAAGCTTGTCGATCTGTGTCAAAATCAAAATCACAACGCTGGCACTATATTTTGAAGTTAACCTTTAGCGAAGTCTTGAAAGTTGATTAATTTTTTTTACTATATAAATATGAAAAATAGTCAAGGATTTTATATAAAATAATAGTCAGAGCTCTGGTAAACGACTATAAGAATCCTTGTTGCTTAGGTCTCAACATACTCCAAATCATAACAAATATATGTATACAACAAACCATATAAAAACTACGTGGCAACGTTGACGCACGGAGATAGCCGTTGCATGGGTGGCCACCGATCTTAGCTTAATCACCGAACGAGTGATCGTATTCTACGCTAATTGATTGGCTACAAGTCATGCAAACCGCACTGCTAAAATGTACAACGATTTTCATCTCTAATCGTAACGCCGTAACGTTAAGTTTTCCTTTTTTTTTTTGTTTGCATGCAACATAACTTCAGCGCGGGTAGAATGACTAGTTGCTTTTGTATCAGTTGCCTCCAGGTGAAGCCGTACAATCTAAGCTGTAAAAATTAACGTACAAACTGCTTGCATAGTAATATAAACTACTTCATGTTCTACGCCCGTCATGTACGTCCGGTTCGGAAGCGGTTAGACATAATTTTTTTTTCTAAATTAAAAGCTTGAATAGAAATATCCCTAGACAGATTGAACCTTATGCGCCAAAGTTTAACAAGCAAACACGTTTCCCAATGTGCTATCATGAAAATGGCACAGGACATGTAGCACAGGACATCAAGCTGCAGACTGCGATAATGTATACGGTATAGAACTGGGTAGCGGATGTTGTCTGTGGACATATCTACCTAAGCATAGATAGATGGTGAAACGTGGCATTTTTCCACTTCTACCCATAAGGCTATTCTGACAATTAGTCGCCGATATTTGGTCTATTCATATAATGCCTATTTTCAACATGTGGTATATAACTCTAGCTGCCTCATTAATTTATGATAAAATCGTTTTATGTCTTCTGATCTGTGCTTACCTCTCAGGGATGCTGCCGGATTCGGGTTTGATATGGCGGCGGCTACCGAAGGTTTGATGTTTGACAGATGAGTCAGTAGATCATGAAAGAAATTCTGAAGCTGAAAATACACCGAGACAATTACAAAATATAAGAACTGTAACCGCATATTTCAGGCCATATTGTTAACATGCTTGTTTTAGGACAATTGGTATGAACCAATAGCTAGGTTTTTTTACTCGACCTATCGGGAGCATTACAACCGTTTTGCATGTACAACCAACAAGGCTGAGGTTATATTTGATCACTGTAGAACTAACAGGATTCAGACAATAGTGATAACGATGATAAGGCAACAATCAATCGTGGGGCATTTCGTTTGGTAAGAATTTTGCTATCCAAAAAACGATTAGGGTTATTTTAGCTATTTTGGAATACTTTTAGGCTAGCTTATTCCGTTGTCTGTTCCTGTTCAACAATATTAAGATCGCTTAAGCGGTGATCTCTATTTGGGGAGGGCACATTTATAGGTCTGCATTGCATTATACAATCAGCCGTTTTCAATGAACTCTAGTTTTGCACGCCGCAAACACCTGATCTTTTTTCTACCATCCCCGTTATCAGTTTGTAAATAATTCACCCACACGTGGAAAAGAGGCAATCTACGAAACTAAGGATTCTTTTTTTTTTTTTTTTTTGAGGAAAAACACAAAATATTCAGCTTTTCGAATTGTCAATTTTAGAAACATCATCAAGTTAATAACATACATAATGATAATACTTTTGAGTCCTTCGCAAACCGAATAAATTCCAAACACCGTCGGAGCCATATCGATGGGACGTTCGCTGCTTCTTCTCGCGCTGCAGCAAATTATTTAATTTGACCAATGAGTGGGTCGATTGTGGCTGGCATTATGACAGATGCCTCTCTTACGCAGAATGGTCTGTTTTTTTTTTTTGTTTATCCTGGTATTTTCCATCCAACCACGACCAATGCCGCGCCTGCCTGCCTGCCTGCATGCGTCCACTGTTTCCTTCTTCCACCGACCCCAGAAGCAGGTAGCTACGAGGACGAGCAATATTCACCTAGCGCTTGCAGAGTGTCTTGGATAGCCAATGTGGCAATTGAGATGGCTATATTTTATATGATTTTTGGAAAAAAGGACCAAGAAAAATTAGAGATGACGGTGATGCATTGTGCGACAGGCCGAGAGGCTTGGATGCCGACTGCTGCTATTACTGTTTACAGGGCTCCGTCATGGTACACTTTATCGCCCTATCGCAAAGCTTTTCTCTACCATAAACGTGGCATAACGTTTGACGATTCTGCAAAGATCGATCTTTTTCGTTCTTCCCAGCCTTGTATTTCTTCCCCATTCAAACGGTTCAAAACCTTTTCACCGCGGAAACAAACGGAGAAAAAGATAATGTTTTTCTCATTGTCATTCTCTCTTGGCATGTTCATTTTCGTTTCGTCAGTTTTTTTCTTATCTCTAACATTACGCAATCTCATCAAAGCTAAACCCTAATTTTTAACGAATCGCCTGGACCGACTCAAACAAGCCGGCTGCCTCCGTCAGTGTTGCTGAAGTTGCCAGCGTGACGATGTAATGGTCATTCTGCCGTTGAAATATTTACTGCTCCTAAGAGAACTTGAGGTCTTTGTATGCAGCGGTTATTGCAGCGACCACTATTTCCCAGCGTACATGATGCGTGACGGTGGTAAGCAAACTGAGTCGGGTGGCGGCAATCTGGGAACGGCTGGCGGAAGAAATCGATATGGTGTGGCTGCAAAATGCAGAAGTTTAAGACGACAGCTGAAAACAGCAAGTACAGACAGTTACGAGCTCTTATATACATATACATATATATACGAGCTCGAATATATGTTTATTTACGTGCGTGTACGTTCGTGGTTAGGCTATCAGCCACAAGCGTCAGAGCAATAAAGACAATTATACAAACCTAGAAATGAATCTGTTTCCTGGGTAATTGTGGGTAGACGCAGCTCTCTTTGGTAGCTGCTGCTAATAACTTGCTTATCGTATCTTTTACAAAGTTAAAAGAAACATTTCCTAGAGAGATGACTAGTCGCGGAGGAGGCCCAGGTTTCCCTCAGGCCGTCACAGAGTTCATGAGCTTAGTACTGTTGGATTTTACAAGTCACTAGTTGTCACTGAGTCAGTAGTCAACGGTGTCTTCAACATACCACGACTGGCGACGTGGGCGTGATGACTTAAACAGTCAAACCTGTAAGAACCTTGGAGATGGACTGACAATAGTGCTTAAAACACACAATTGACATCGCATAGTGTGGCGAGTCGTCCGTTTGTCTGTACGTTTTTAAGTCTATACGTAGGTAGTAGAGTGCTAGTTAAGGGATGAGCTGAAGAAGTAATACATATCTACGTAATATTCATATATGTATGTAGCACTTTCAACACGGCTCTGATCCTTATGAATACGAATGTAGTGAATATGTTGACTGATAAGCCATCTGTAATTCTGATCATCTTGTCAATGCAGATTATGAAGTGAAAACAAATAAAATTTTATTCGAGTCATCGAAATGACTACGGAATCGAATTCTATTGAGACGTCCATTTCTCTGCCAGCCCAAAAAACAGATCCAAATGTGTTTTTGCTTTTAATATCTATGCCAAGGTGACGCGGCCATAAGTTTATTTTAAATTTTTTTCAAAAAAATTTACAGCTATTACGAAGAAATCTGTTTTTGTAGACCGATTGCGTTCTATATTTTTATTGCGATCCATCTGTTCTGGACGATACTGTTGCCTAGCATAAACTGTAATGGTGGATTGTTTGTATATTGAAACCTGAAAATGAGCGTTCCTGGTTGAGTTACTATCGCGCTTTTTGCGTTGCAGTTACCGGAAGCATGTCCGAAAAATACATGAATCTAAGGCGAATTCGAATCTAAATAGGTTTTGGAATTGTATAGCCAAAAGAGGATGTGGAATGGGAAAAAAAAACCTGTTTTCGAATAGTATGTTTTTCAAGTATGATGCATTAAACAGCTCTATTAGGTATAAGATACGTCAAACTCGACTTTTCAATCCGCACCCAAGAGTGAATACATATCAATGAGCAATATTCAAATTGAGCTGAAAAGGACGACCTAACATTTTTGTCGAATATATTTTTGCTAAAATATCCCGTTTAGGATCATTTGCGTTGATCTGCGTGTAAATGCCTTTTGGCTAGAGACCTAAGAAGGATTTGTTGGATAGAAAAGGTGGCCTAGGTTGCCATCCTCATAACATAAGTTTTCTCGGTTCGTTCGTCCGACGGAAATAGCTTTTCGGACTGAATACAAGTGTTTCTCTGTTCCCTGTCGAACAATGCATGTTTCCTTCATCGAGCGCAATCCCCATTCATATGTAGGTGTATTCTATACAATTTGAGCTTAATAAACACTTTGTCGGCCAGCAGAACAAAACAAACACTAGAAAATCATGCTATGCAGGCAAGCAGCCCAAATAGATAGGTTCGTAATTGACACACGCAGGAGACAAAAATGTCCTGTTTATCCTATTCAAAAAACAAATCGCTGATTCAAGCCCCTAGCGAACCAAACACGTAATTTTTCACAATAGATAAAGACATTATCAGAAAAGAATCACCGTTGAAGCGTAACCTTTTTGATACTTACGTTCACTCGGAGTTATTATTTCTTAGTGAAGATGCCAAAGCAAATAGACTCTGCAGGTCCTACGAGAGCGAGTTCCTCTACGTAGCGGATATCAGCAGTCAGAAGCCAGAGAATCCGATGCACCCCCTTGACTTGTATAGCTATCAGAATTGACGATGTATAATATTCGTTTTGCTTTTTATGTTATCCATTATTAGACTGGTTGTACAGCGGTTCACTTTCGCATCTGCTTTCATATCAAGGTCGCTTAATTACCTTGACTGTAATATAATTACCTCAGCCCACTCTCTAATACCCAGAGTCGAACTGCCAGTCGTGCAGGTACCGGCTTTTCTTGGTGAGGGCTAATATTATTTTTATACATCCCTAGACTACTCTGTTTCTAGGAAAATTCAAAGATGAAAGAATAGATGTTGGGCTCAGATCGGTGATGCTTGCCTGCAAAATTTTATAGAAGGGAGTCAAAACTAGCTTCTTCTTTTGCTGTCTGTTCGGCGCTAGCTGCTGTGTTGTTTGTCCATCATATTCTCTTCGTCTCCTGTGAACTAAAACTGCTTAAGCCCTGAAGGCAAATGGTCGTATGACAGAGGGAGAAAAGAGGCCCCTTTGAGAGATGTCAACTTCTAATGTACTCTATTATGCCCGCCGAAATTACAACCAACTGAGACGAGGAGGGTGCTGGCAGAGCCTTGCTCCACGTTATAACACGTTATTGATTGAGATCGATCAACGTGACGTCGAAGGCCTTATTCTCACGTTCCTTATAAGTTTGAAATAATCGCCCTGTTTGGTTGCTATATGCGTTATAGGCGTAAAGCATCTCCGCTCTATGTTATTTGCTGTTTCGGACCGTCAATATCTAATATTTAATATTATGAATAAGAGCTTAAAGTAAATGTGATATGCATACACGAATTCCAGGCATGGAACCATCTTGCATTTTCCAAAATACAATATGGCTCACAATCGGTTTGCCTTACGCAATCCGCCACATAGACGCCGATGGATCTTTGTATAGAGGTACGTGACAGTAACCCTATTATTCTGCTAGACTGAATTTCAAAGTCATGCGTGCAGGCCTATCATTGACCGAACAGGCCTGAAGTCGAGGTATCATTGTGCCAATCGTCATAGTTCATCGGAGTAAAGTGTGAAGAACTATTTCACATCGCGAAATATCACAGATCACAGATATGGCTTGCCAAAAATAGGTTTCGAATATGGCGTACGGTTGGCCAAACGAGAAATGTATTTATCGTCGAGTATGACGCAGAAGACGACTGTTGGAACCCTATTTTACAGGCAGGTTTCTGCTTTAAAAATAAAACACAAAAAATATAGTTATGTACTATAGTCATGTCGAGGAAGTACCAAAATTGGTCTGGCAAAGAGGACATTTGTTTGACTGGATAATTGTCAACTGTCGTTAGCGCAAAGCAAGAAAAACG